TTGAAGCAGATAAGTACCGAGTGTATATAAGCCCTGCAAACACATTTTTCTTGTCTAGAAACGAATAAAGATTGTTATTCCATCAAATATTATTACTTGTTGTACTTATTTACCAGCTGTCATCAATCACGACGGTCTTAAACAGGCGGCCCGCCGCCCCGCTCCATTTTTGGTTCCACTGACACCTCAGATGTAGGAGCCAGTTGCAGCAAGCCGCAGCACTCTGTGGAGTTGTCATCATCTGCGACACAGGAACACTGTGATGGCCGACAACTGGCTTCACCGTTAGCGCAGCGTCAGGGGCGCCGGAAGTTGATTTTACAGGGGGGGCGGAGTAACAAAAGGGCCCGGATTTTTCCAAAAGGGCCCGGTTATTCGCAAAGCGTTTATCTTTTTAAAAATGACCAAAATGCAGCTTTTTGCAACGTTGTGTTCAAAATGATATTTCAAATAAATTGCAATTTATCTCTAAGTGCTTTTACTGCTCAGTGGACAAAATATAGTCTAAGTCTTGTCAAGTCAAGTCATTTCACAAATATGATGTCATTTTGACGTCATTTTCAGTCAATTTGAGGTCATTTTGACATCATTCTGACTCCAAATGTCGTTAAAATGACATCATATTTGTGAATTGACTTGACATGACTTGGACATTTTCTCGTCCACTGGGGTCTGCCTAAGGGCACCTCCAGTGCTTCGCGGGGCCCCTTTTCCAAGTTTTCGCTTCTCTCTTGTCGTTTGATCAGTCCCGTTTCGGAGGCCCAAAAGCACCCAAAGGGCCCGCTTCGCAGGCTAAGAGAGGGCCCGCTTCGCGGGCCGAAAGGGCCCGCAGCCGATTCAGGGGGGGCATTTGGCCCCCCCTGCCCCCCACTTCCGGCGCCCCTGCGCAGCGTAGAACACGGGGCGGGGCAGTTCCCCTTCTCGCCCAGGCGGTGCGTTCCTGATAAAACCGCCTGTGCTATCCAGATAAGCCGTTCCGCCTGATGCCTGTTCATCCAGCAATGCCATTTGTTTTTCCGACGACCAAGCGTACTGTTGGCAAAATATAGGAAAGTTATGGAACAGCACACACAAGGAGGACAACGCCTAGCCCATAGGCAACCCATCCTACTCCAGCTGCCTGGGTCAGGAGTGCAGCAGGCGAGGGGGTGGGGAGGGGAGCCCCCGCCCCCCCCCCCCCCCCGCACACGCGCCAGGCGAGGGGTACTCACAAAAACAATTGTAACATTGTGCACTTATTCAGATGGAATTTCATTAAGCCATTGAAATAGAATTTTACACATTGCACTCACCTGAAATAAACTTGGCCTATCGTAATCGAATATTTCACCACCCTCTTGCCTCTTCCTCTCCTCAAAAAAATCCAAATGTTCATCCTTGTGAAGGTCATCTCTTCTTTTCATCTTGCTACTCAGGTCATGAAGAGTTTGCAGGGGTCCTGGTCTCGGCAGTCTGGGGTCAGCTCCCCATTTTTGCCAGCACTCGTTGTAGACGAACGATGGGGTTTCCGTCAAAAG